ACGTCCAATAGAAGGCTGGATCGATCAGTTGGAACAAGAAGTGCTTAGCGTAGAGACCATCCTTGGGTGCAAAGGGATAGGGGGGAGCGCTAAATGTAGGGTAGAAAGGCTCAAAAGGGTGACTCAGGAATTGAATGAGGCCAAGACCGGGTGGCTGGACCAAGTCACCATGCGAATTTGTTCGGTAGCAGTTTGCGAGGATAGTGAGCCGTGGGAACAGTGGCAAGAGGAGCCTTCAGCAATCATGCTTCAGTTGAAGACATTGACCATGCAAGGGTCTATGATGATCTCCAGGCTTGGATACCTCCACTTGCAGACGAGATCAAGGCCTTGACTGAGACCCACGGGGCAGTAGAGATCATTACGGTGGAGGATGTGGCTCGACTCACGGCGGAAGGTTACGTGGTAGAAACAATTCCATCCAAGCTAGTGCCGGTGCTGAAGCCTCCGGACGCCAAGAAGAGGCCCAGGATAGTAGGATGTGGAAATTATTTGGATCTCAATGGAAGAAACAAAGACGATATGACATCCTTATCTTCTCCAGTCACGGCCAAGGCGTACGAGAGGAAGAATCTCTATGCCAATCGGCTGGACAGTGACGCCCTTCGCATACTTCTCAGATTTTCGGCAGGTCAGCCTTTGTGGAGTGCACTGTGTACTGATGTGAAAACCGCCTTCCTTTTGGCGCCGACGAGACAGAGAGGAAGTTCCAGACGACGAGTGGTGTTGGTACCGCCCAAAGCTGTCATTAAGGCTGGACTGTTGCAAGAGTGGCGCAGGTTCTTGGTGCATAAAGCACTTTACGGCTTGGCCGAATCGCCGGCTAGCTACCGGGACGAGGTCCTCAAGACGTTTAGGTGGACCACTAGATCTGGAAAGCGCCGCATGTTGGTACAACTCGTGTATCTGGGTGGTGTTGGAAGTGCAAGACAATGGTGACGCGGGTGATGGTCCTACCATTGCCGTTGTCGGCCTGTACGTGGACGACCTGCTCCTTGCTGGCCCACCTGAAGAGCTGCAGGACTTGTGCAAAGCATTGTCTGATGTCTGGCAGATGGCAGCTCCAACCTGGTTGAGCGAAGGAATCCGGTTTTGTGGATTGCAGATAGAGCAGGCGTTAGACCAGTCTTGGCATCTGCATCAGACTGACTATCTCGAAGAACTGGTTCAGCGCTACCAGGTGGAAGGGTCGGAGGAGCTACCGACCTACAAGGACGGTTATGACAGCGTGGAGACCTACGCCATAGCCGAACTCCGTGCAGCGCAGAAGCTTGTGGGCGAATTGTTATGGATATCAGGACGGACTAGAATGGACATAGCATTTCATGTGGCCAAGTTAGGACACTTTGCAACCAAGTTCCCTGTGCAAGTTGTTAAGGACTCCTTAAAGGTTTTAGCTTATCTAGCAAGTACCTCCAATGTCCGTTTGCGGTATGGCAAGTTTGACGAGGCCTGGGCTGGCGAGCAGACGTTACGGTTCTCTAGGGGTTTGAGCGTAGTGGAGTCTTGGAGCGACGCGTCGTTTGCTCAGGCAGATGAACGTCCCCAGAGCGGCATAGCTTTAGTTGTGGCTGGAGGGTTGATAAGTTGGCGCTCGTCCCGACAAGGACTGGTTTCTCTCAGCACCGCTGAGAGTGAGATGATCAGTGCAGTGGAGAGCTTGACTCTAGCTAGAGAGCTGGTTCCCATTTGGGCAGAGCTGATCAAAGTTGACCTGAATTGGGTATTGTATCTAGATAACTTGGCCTGTACTCATCTCCTGGTGCTCCCAGGAGGCACATGGCGAACACGACACCTCAGATTAAGAGCACATCACTTTAGGGAGGCCATTGAAGCTGGATCTTTGGCAATACACCACCTGCCCGGAATTGAGATGTTGTCAGACATGCTCACAAAATCCATGCCTTGGCACAAAGTTTGGCATTTGCTCTCTCTAGCAGGTTACGTGCAAGGTAGCGCTCCTGCAAACACCTCCAGTGGCATAACAGTTGAGAGTGCTGTGCGCATGTTGGTGTTTATGTATGCTGCTTCGCATGTTCCCGCTACGGCCGCAGTTGATGATGCAGACGAGAGTCTGGATGTATGGACTGTTTCAACTTCAGAGTGGTTAGTAATTGGTTGTGTGGTTTTGATCTGGGAGGGATTCCGTTTCCTGTTTCGGTTGTGTAAAAAGGTGAGGGTGCCCCCGAAGGAGACGCAAACCAGGGTTGAAGGGTCGGTTCTTTGGACAGAACTGCAGGAATCTCATCAGGGAAGTAGCTTGGGTGAACAGGCAAACCTGCTTGAGCTGAGCAGGCAATATGGTCTGCCAAGCATGCGTTTACAGGGCACAGGCTCTGAAGACTATTGGGAGATCTATCCAGAGTACAAGGTGCTGGTTCGATGGCACGTTGTTCCCCGACAGCAGTTTTTCAGACCAACCAACGAGTTTCCGCTAGCGAACCTTGTTAGACCCACTGGCCTTCGAAGGACAATCATGTGCGTTGGCCCTGAAGATATCAGGGAACATCACGACAACTTCAAGCAAGGTGGATCTAGACGTCGAGGTCACGGCGGTGCTTGGACCGGGAGAACAGAGTTTCAAGTTGTTACGGAACTCTTGTGAGGGCCTTGAGCTGCTTTTTGTCAACCTATGAGGTGATTGTGTCAGAGTGAGGGGGTCCCTACAGGGTTGCTTGCAGGGAGCTGCTGGCTTCGACCTTCACTCAAGTTGCTGCTAAGCATCAACACAGTTTTCAGTCACTATCTTAAGGATGTGTGATGTAGTCTTTGGGGGCGTTTAAGGGGACCAGTAGCGTCCTATAGACCCCAACAGCATGGCCCCTGCATCAGGATGACATGCACAAATCGAGACGTGTATGCATCCGTAGGCCCTTTTGGAAGTCGAGCACGTAGTGTGAAAGTGGAAAAGGCTGTGCGCCTTTTGTAGTTTTTCAAGGCACACGTACGCAAACATTTGTCAGTCATCAGATTTTCCATTCCTTTTTTTTTCTTTTTATTCATCAGCACGGTTGGAGGTATCCATAATATATTTGATATGCCGTGCGCATGGTTTGAAGTACCTAACCCTGACAAAAAATGATATGTGCACATCTATATCAGCATGAGCGAGCTAATGAAGAGAATTAAATGTTGAAATAAATGGCCCTGTGAGGCATGTCCATTCCACTTATCGGCAACTTAATGGAGACTTCCACTGGACCTTAATTTACAAGATAGGTATCTATCTTCATTTATCATATCCAGGTTCCTGTCTGAGCTCTTCCACGCAAAGCTAGCGGTGTAAGCAAGCCTTCTATATGAAACGATCAGGGAGTGTAAAGGGTTTTCTGGATGAAATCCAAGAAATCCTGAGAGCCTGTCTTCTACATTGATGAGATGTGCTGGCTAAAATCATGATATTGAAGATGTGATCCAAAGACATATAGGATTTTTCAATACGGGAGCCGACGGCTTTATGACTGTAACCCTTCAAAAAACGTGAAAACGTATGTGTTGACTGAAAAACCTGGGCCAGTATTCCGAGGCACTCTCTACTATTATTATCACTACCGCGACCACTATCACCACCACCACCACCACCACGACTACTACTACTACTACTACTACCTACTACTACTACTACTACTACTACTACTAGCTGCCCCCCCCTCACCTACCAACCACTTATGTTCCCCTGAATGTCAGGGGTGGGTCGTCAAGAGCCTAAGAGAAAGAGGTAGAGGTGGAACGACGTGCCTCACCCACGCAAAATCTTTAAACATTCTGTAGATGCCAATGATTTTAGCATGCGCGCTCTTCGAATGGACGTCATTATGTCCCCGCCCACCCACCTCCAAAGCCTACCCCACCCCACCCCCCCTCCCGGCATCCCCGCGCATTAAGAAAGTACAAAGTCTTTTTGCATTCCACGAAAGCCAATATTTCCGCAGTTTTTACCTGGTTTACATGCGCGATCTGGGAGACATAGTTGGTAAGGAGGGGGGTATATACCATTACCAGTAATACTACTACTACTACTACTACTACTACTTGCTGCTGTTGCTGCTCAGATGTCAACGAAATACTTTTTTTCTGTGATACTTGCCGTTTGTCTTCGCTGCCACTAAATTTAGTACACGAGTTTTTTGATATCTATACAATCTTTTTGATGCGCTGGGCGTATGTTATTTTTTGATGCTTGCAAAGTGTTTTTTAGATCCCTCAGCCTCCCCGGGGCCATGCGAGGGCCACATGGTGGTCCTACCACTTTTATATGGGGCTGGAGGAGGTGGCCTTGCAGGCAATGTGGATGCGCAGTCTGTTAAAAAGATAGCGCAGCCACATCATACGACATGTTTCGTCGAAACGGGTTGCAACAGCAGCATGCCACGCTGATCAAGAAGGATCAAAAAAGCACGCACTCCCCCGTGGTGGATGCGGAAGGCCAGGTCGATTTCAGGAGCACAAATTGCAAACTCCCAAATGCTGAGGGACTGCATGGATTTGAGGCATGAGCGAAAGCTTAACGCTCATAAATACCATAGGTCCTGAGAGCAGACGACCAAAAATGTTCACGGATCAACAAATACAGCAAGAGCAGCGCCCACATCAAGTCCATTCCAAATGCGACAGACCAAACGTTTTTTTTTAGTAGGGAGAAAGGATCGAACACAGCTCAGAAGTCTTAAAGCCATGTCAGGTTCGGACCTGACAGGGTTCGGACACCGCGTTTTGCAGCATGATTTGGCTTGGTTACAGAACACAGCAGATGCCTTAAAACCCTGGAAGCTTGTGAATTCCTGTGTGAAATTCCCTGAACAGTCCATGTCGGCTCGGAATCCAAGAGTTGCCCGTTTAAAGGTTTTTCGATCAATTCCGTCGTGTAGGAACAACTTATGCAGTTGACTCTGCAACAATCCCAAGATTTCCGTGTTTGGTAGAGTTGAGTCATTAAGAAGAACGACACCGCATGAACCAACTCTGTACGGTATGGCTTAATGAAATTCAGCCATCCGAAGGGTGAAGCGAACCTGTCGGATGACCAGGTGCAATTTCTGCATGTTTGGATCTGAGGTGCACGCAGCAAGCACTGCATGTGGATGCAGGTCATGACACGAGCTGGAGGTGATGATGCTGAAGACGGTGATTTGCTGGTCACGTCGGGGCCTGAGTCTCTCAACTCCATCGCCACAAGCGCATTGAAACTTAGGAGCTTCATGTCACAGAGCTCCCTCTTTGATTGTGATGGCAAGCCCATCATGGTAAATGCTGCAACGAGCCTGGATTGCGTGCCCCGCAAGCCTTTGCAAAGAGGGTGATGCAGCTACATCAGGTCCTGCCAGATCCGTCTGAATTCACAGCAGTGGGCCAGTCGCAAACTCGGTTGGTCAACTTGAGCATCTGGGACTTGGGAAACGCACTGGGTTAGCATGCACAACTTGCAAACTCGAAATGAGCAACCATCAAGACTCTCGTGCTAAGGCCAGTTAGAAGGATTACTGTGAATGGCAGGGATTTGCCCAAACCCTCCGGGAGTGATGAAACCACTCCAGAGATCAGTTGATGCAGAATCCTGACACAAGCGATCTCGACATAGACGGACGCAGCAATCTTGTAAGCATTGATGGCGCCAAGGAGGGCGACACTTAATTTGGCAGACTCAGCTGAAGCCACTGAAGCCTTCAGAAGAAAGGAGATGGAAGAAGCAAGGCAAAGCACTCGTAAATTTAATGGGAATGCCATGCCTCCCGTGTTTTGACGGCGCTCGGAAGCGGAGGCAAGGGACGTGACGCCACTTGCCTCTTCGCAAAACTTTGGTTGAAGTTTTGAGATGTAGAGCGTTCCACACAAAACCATGGACCCTAAACTCCGCCCATCAACGACTTTGAAGCAAACTGAAGCGTTTTGCTTTCAGCCATGCAGTCCAGCACACCTTGAGCGCGTTCCTAACATGCCTGGTTCAAGCTTGTGGAGAGTAACTGAGAGCGCCTGAGGCAAATGAATTGAGCTTTGCCCTAGCAGCTCACATCTCAGAAGGACAGTGGGAAAGAGGGAGGAAGCCCAAGCAGGAAGAGGCAGGTTTACGGCGCCAAGACATTCATGAGGCTGCAGTTGCAGGATCGTGTGAGATCAAACGCAGATCCGTCATCATCTTCCGCCAGCTCCTTTCAGGATAGAGAAATTCTGCGTGACCCTGCAGCTGCGCAGCTAAGCCCCCTTTCCCCTCCCCCCGAGAAACCACTCCAGCCAGCCGGCCCCCCCCCGCCCTGCACCCTCCCTAAATCCAGACCAGCCAGCACCCCCCTCCTGCCACCTCTGCTACGACCCTCCCGTTCCTCTACTCCTGCACAGGTTTGCCGCGAACCCTTCTCTCGCTGTGGCGCTGTGCGAATTTTCCGCCGGCGACGAACCGCTGTTTTCGGCGTGTGGGAGCGCTGCGCGGCGTTTAGGGTTAGGGTTTAGGGGGTTTAGGGTTTTGGGGGTTTAGGGGTTTAGGGGTTTAGATCCCGGTTGCTTTACCACCACTTAAATGGGCGGGTTACATGGACCAAAGCCATTTTAGTTTAGTTGTTTGTCGGGGGATTCTGGGGGTCACATGCCATTTTAGTTTTTCGCAGGGTCACATGGAGCCGTTTTAGTTTCGGCATTGTTTTGCATGTTGTTGCGCGTTCTCTTGACATGTAGCGATGACAAGAATGATCATGCATGATAGTTGTAAACAGTTATACTTATAGTAGGGCAAGTTGTGCCAGTGCGGCCGTGAAAGGGTTGCACCGATCTTTCAAGGTGTCAAAATGCAATCCTTTCTGCACGTTGATTTTTTTGAGGTCCAAAATCACAAGCGAATTGCAACAGATTTTTCTTATCGTAGCCGAATGTCCATCCGCACCTTCGTGTTTCTGAACGGTTCTCGAAAAGCGTGAAAAATGTGTCTTGGGACTTTCGGTCATGTTCTTGCTTCACAAGACGCGCTCGGGAAAATGCGGTTTTCCTGATCTTGTTGCTGGTTTCCACGGGTCGTTCATACAGAATTTTCAGTCACGCATGCGAACCACGCCGAAAAAATGAGAAGCAAACAGCAACAACTAGGACGTCACAAATCCTTCAAACCCTGAACCCTAAACCCCCACACCCTAGACTAAGAATGCCATTCGCCTGTTTCTGGATCACAGCTTAGAGACAGCCGGAAAAGACTGGCACTTTTTTTTTTGCAATGGAACCAACGGCATTTGTTTGCACGTCGACATGGTTTGAGGTCATAAATCGTGCACAATGTTTGACACATTTTTGGTAAGCAAATGTCCGCGTGTGGTTCTGGGCGTTTCGCTGTGGTTGTCGCACGATTTCAGACAGCTTCGTGCTTGCGATTGCGAACAACACATCGTTGATTGTTCATAATTTGTATTTTTCATGCTCCCTCGTAGTTGCAGGCGTGTACCCAACCTATAGAGCTCCATTCGAGCATTTGGTATACACTTTCATCCCCACCCGCCCCACTACCCCTGGTATGAAAAGTGATCAGGCCGCATTCTTAGTAACGTCTTAGTACGGGCCACAGACAACATACAACAGCGACTGACAAGCATGACAAACAGTAATAACAGATAGTAGAACATGACAACTGGTAGTGGAAGTAATAATAATGACAGCAATAACGCCGATTGTGGTTGTATGGAGTTTAGTACTATGAATACCACTTCTTACTAATTAGTATTTTTCGTGCTACCTTTGTTTGCTATTGATGATTGCTAGAGTCTATTCGTGTTCTCTATTCGCACAGAACAAAGTGATATACAGTAATAATAGTAGCGACACATACGAAACACAACGAGCAATGATAATGAACAGGAATAGCATAAGAAATAGCGATCATGAACAATACTATCAACAATAAACAATATCAGGAGAAGAAATAGTGAACAGTATTAATAACCATCAACGCTAGCAACAAATAGTATTAATACAGACTATTCAGATCAGATAGTATGTGCAGTGAGAAAGAGAAGCAATGAATAAAACTCAGTACTCTTATTAACAGTAAGATTTTCAATAATAACACAAAGAGCATATCATAAATGCATAGCTATGATAAGCTATGCTACCTAAGCTCAGGTTTTAAAGGCGTATAGCCGCGGTACCGGGGTAACGCAAGATTGTTGTTACGCACCAATACCAGGTGCTGTGACTGCGCGATCCCGGGGCTGCGCCTATGCAGACTAATAATAGCGAACAGTGACAAAACCAGACCATAGTAAATGTTAAAAAGGGAATAAGCAGCATTAGCATAGTAAAGCTGACAGGTAACAGCAATCACAACAATGGAATCAGCACAATGTCGTAGCATTCCCTTTTTGTAGAATACTACTTATTTCTAGTTAGTACTGTTATGTGTTATTTGTTGTTATTATTTCCTGTTAGTATGTATTCGCGTTATTCATTAGCAGAAGACAGAATGATAATCATACAGTGTGAATAGTAGTAACGCAAACGACAGCAGCAACAACAGCAACAAAAACAACAACAATAACAACAGATCGTGATCAAGCATAGTCATAGCAAATGAACCGGATAATGATTCGACACAGTCATGATGAACAAAACTCAGAACAATGAATAGTAGCATGAAATAGTCATAATGAACAATATTAATGAATGTAAAAATTTGCAATGAGCAGCAATAATAGCGCACATGAATAAGAAACAATATTATGATAAAGAATAGCAGTGAATATATCGACGTCCAAGTGCTGTGACTGCGTGATC